ACTGAACAAACTTCCATCTCCAATACTATTTTCTCAAAAGTAATCTTCCAATTCAACCCAAGATCACTACCTGCTCTGAAGCCAGTCAACCTCTCTAGGTCCATATAGTAGGGCTGTCTGGACCCAGTAAGTGGGTAAGGGTGGTGAGGGCACTGGGTTTGCATCAGTAGCTGTCATCTGGCTATATAAGCATGTTCTTTGGGAAACAGTCCCAAACAGTTACACAACTCACCTAGCTGGAGTTATGACACAGCACTGGAAAGGAGGACAAAGCTGTCCCCCTGACCCTTTGGCACTGTGGTCCTGACCTTCACTTGTACAACTAGAACTAGTCCTAGTCCTAAACATACTTCATGACAACCAGGTACTGCCTTTATTGTTTCTGCCAACTAGTCCCTGTATACATTATGTCCACTAAAGGCAAGACACACTGCTAGCCACAGTGGGGATGAGGGAGGAGACTCAGACCCCACCAGGCTACTCAGTGGCCACCGTACTCTTATTTCAAAGCACGTGTCATGTTGTTAGGTGCCATCGAGTTGGTTCTGACTCATAGTGACCTTTAGCACAGTAGAACCAAACCCTGCGCAGTCCTGCGCCATCCTCATAATTGTTATGTTTGAGCCCACCGTTGCTGCCACTGCGCCAGTCCACCCTTATTGAAGGTCTTCCTCTTTTTTGCTGACCCTCCTCCAATTTATCAGGCATGATGTACTTCTCCAGGGACTGGCCCGCCCTGATAACAGGTCCAAAGTACAAGATATGAAGTCTCGCCATCCTAGCTTATCACCTGTTATAGCCCTAGGAAAATGCTCACCTGTACTTACTGAGATTTAGGACATCCTTTTACCACATGACACCTCTACTGGCCTGGGCCACCCCCTCTCTCAGGGCTCCCAGAGACGCTCCAGGTCTGGAATGCGTTTCCTTCTATTACAGAAAAATGATCCACAAATTAGCATGGATAACACAAACCTATGTTTCTGCCCAAAATAAATCAATGGCCAACATGTTTTACTTTGTGTCCACGTTAAAGAGAAACGTGTGTTTGTCGAGCAGGCACGAACTCCGGCAGTACCACAATGACCACTGTTCCAGTTCAGCTGAATGTGAAGTTATACACTAGTTACAGCCAGCTAGGCTTCCAGCCCCAAACTGAACAGAAGGCTTTTTAGGATGGAAAAAAAGAAAGATCTTTCTCACTGAACAGAACTAGTTACAGAATGAAAAAAATGCATCTCTTGGCATTTCACTCACATTATGTTGTTGTGATACCAAAGAGGCAAGAGGTCAACAAGAAGCAAGACGGAGCCAACCACAAGTGGCATCAGGTTGTCACAGACTACAGGCAAAGACTGTTTTAAGTTGATGAATCCATGACCAGAAACGAAACCTCCAGGATGAATGAGAAAGTGCGGCCTCTGGGATATCTGAGGATCATGCTGAAATGAGCTGTGGGGGAGCTGGGGATGCCCCTGGGCCGCAGAACAGACCACAGACTGGCTGGTGCCCCCGGAAGCCCTGGGGAGTGTTATCTGTACATTGACCTTAACCAGCTCTCTGTGTAGCAGCTTATAAACCCCAACTCAGGCCATGTGGAAAATGAATTCATTAACTGGGTGGGTAATGAACTTCAATCTAGAGGACCTAACTCTGGTGGATCTTCAAAGTGGCAAAATGTTTGGGTTTCTCATGCTGGTTTAATCTGTTCCAACTGTCCCACAATGCAGTGCTAAAATTAGAAGGGCGTAAATTGGTACAAATCTCTCTATACAGGTTTTTGTTCACACCTAACCTAGGTTGGAGAAGTTATAAATATGATTTTTCTCCTAGCATGATTGGTTGTTCTTAATCATGAAGAAGTGCTACACATGACAGGTAAAAAGGATATATACAAAGACACACAGAGGCTCTAAAACTGGCTGAGATAACCTGAGAAACCTATCTAGAATACAAATGTGAAGACCTGATTCACACTTAAGTGTCTGGAGAGAAGTCTCCTTCTGAGCAAGGTGCCCGGTGACCGTGATGAAAGAAAGGCGTTTGTCCAAAATACAATGGAAAAACCACTACTACACACAGTGAGAGAAGCCAAGGGTTTTAAAGTTTGCTACAAATAGGGCTGAAACTTGAAAATGCCTGAAGAGTGGTAGAACATCACAGGGAACAGCCTTTCTTTTTATTTTCTTGGATCAAAGTCAGGAGAAAAAAGATTGTTTTTGAAGGTGTCCCCTAAAAAAAAAGAGAGAGAGAGAATAATACCCCAGAGGATCTAACGGATGACTTTTCCCAGTTATCACTGCAGGCATTCCAGGGCGATTTGCCTTGTACTAACCTGCCTCAAGGTCCCCAAAGAAATGCTCTACTCCCCCCGCCCAGTTTTACGGTTTGAGATACTTGGAGCGGTGAAGTAAGCAGAGTATACTTCTAGAGCAAGAAGAGCCCCAAGAATCAAGTTCCTGACAGCCCCCAAATCTGCATCTGAGCAATAATACCGATGCTTTCAAAAACCCGTGGTCCCGGCAGGTACCCATCCCTTGGAATATCAAAGTCCCTCAGATCTCTCCTGACTCTTGTCTAACCACCTCATCTACATATCCAATTCAACCACACACACACACACACACACACACACACACACACACACACACGCCACACTCAGCCTTTGACACTCAGCAGTTCTCCTCGTGTGCCCTTGTCACCACTTCCCTGCCTGGGAAACTACAGCTCAAATCTCACTGTTTCTAGAAGAGGCATCCCTTCAGCTTCTCACCCGTTTATAATCCTGTTACTCACAAATATCTTGGAAGTCCTGGAGGGACACCAGCTGCTCCTCTGAAACCCTATACAGGGTGGCTGTTAGAACCGACTTGACGGCATTTCACAACATCCTGAATCCAGCCACCTTCTCACCATCTCTACCACACCCTTCTCAATGAAAACTCCCAGAACCCTAACTGATGCCCCATGTACCCAGAGCAACCAGAGAGGGTTCCCAAACTGCAGTCTGACTGCAAAGCTCTTCGGTCATGGTCAAATGTGGAGTCATCCTTCTCAAAGGCCACCCTCTACGGGCTTTCCATCTTCTCACCTAGACACAGAACTCCAGTTCTTATGTCAAGACACAAAGGCACATTTTCCTCAGTTCTCTTAACTTCTCCACACTTCCCTCAGCCAGTCTGAGCATCTTAAGAGAATGCATCATTTCTAGGGGAACCCTTGTTTGATACACCCCAACCCCCCATTCAGGGCACACTAACGGAGCTATGTTCCTTTCCTTCATTTGTTGGTTTGAAATGATACAGACAGTCCTGTGGTTATTTGATTAGCAGCTGTCTCCCTCACTAGGCTTGTTGGCAAAGGGGACAATGTCTGCCACATAGCAGCAACTCACTATCTGCTACGTGAATGAAAGTTCTTAACTAGGTTGTCATGCCTTCTGTTACAGGAACATGCTAAGGAGCACATGCTCTTACTATGCTAAGACGGGGTTTACCAAGTAGCCTGTCTCTCTCGCCTTCTACTCCATGAACGCCAAACACAGGAACTCTGTCTCTCCAGCTCAATATTCTCAATGCCCAAAGCAAACCCACTGGCATCGAGTGGATTCCAACTCTTAGTGAGATGAAATCTTTATGAGAGGAGACAGCTTCATTTCCTCCCATGGAGTGGATAGTGGTTTGAACTGCCGGCCTTTAAAATTAGCAGCTCAACCCCAACGCTTTCCTAATGCCCAGCAATCAAAAATCTTTGTTCAATGAATGAATAAGCACAAAAGATAGAGTTCTTTGCATGTGGTTCTGACTACAAGTTCTTTCCAAGTTCAGCAGTGGCATTTCCCTGGGAAGACCTGCCCTTTGCATGGCAGTCAAGTCAGAAGAGTCTACATGGCTCTGGGCGGCTGCTTGTGATGAGGAGGTCCTTCCGTACTCTCTTTTGTCAGTACAGGGGAGAAGGAGAAGCTCTGATATTGGAGAAGATGGGGGACAGTCAGGCTAACTGTCCACTTCTCCACTAGTCACTAAGGCAAGAGGGTCTACCAATCTCTTCAGCTAATGAGCGGTCAGGTCTCTGGGTCATTTCCTCAAGTGCAGAGTTGCCAGGAAGATAAACAAGATGGTAAGTCAGAAAATATTGCTATTGGAGTTCCAGTTCAGATGTGCCAGTGTTTATTACACACAAAACGTGTCTGCAGACAAGTTCTCTCAGGAATACAATTGTCTTAGTCTCATCAAGGAGTCCTGCTGTGGCACTGTGGGTTCATGAATGCGCTGAACTGCAAAGTCGGTCTGAACCTCAAGGTAACCAGTTCAAGCACACCAGACACTCCTTGGAAACCCTATACAGGCTCATCATGGGTTGGTACTAACACACCGGCACTTAGCAACAACAATTTCATCAAGGTGCCTTTAAATAAAAAAGGGTCCCATCAAAACAGTGGCTTCTCAGGGGATCTGCGGGACCAGCTCAATTCAAAGGTGAGATGTAAGCTCAGCTTAGAAGGTAACCGTGACTGTGTCTTCGGATTCTGAAGAGGCCTACTTGTTAGATTTTCTCAGTGGACACAGAAGATCACAGGGGTTTACGATGAGGAGATTGAAAAACTGGCACTGGTGACAAAAATGCCAGGAGAAGTTGTACCGAGGAATGTCTCTGCATCACGATACAACCTGTGTGTCCTTTGAGGGTGGCAAGGGCTGTCCTACAAGCATTTCCTTGGGAAACCTTACCCTACCCATCCTATAGTCCTGAGCTTGCCTTTCAGACTACTTTTTGTTCCCCAAACTCAAAAGAACACTGAAAATGAACACAATTTTTGAGTCTCTTGAGAATACCAAACTGCAGTTTGACAACATATCAGAAAATACAGAATTCTTCAAGGCAGGGTTAGAGACACAGAACTTCTGCCTTTAGCAATGTATAGACCTTGATGGAGGCCAGTTTTGATACTCCTGTTTAATAAAGGTTCTATGGTTTTGTAGCAATACCCTTTGACTTACCTTCATATCTGAATGTGAATCACATCTTTTAACCATAAAAAAGTTGTACAGCACAGCTACTATTATTAAGCTGTTGAATGTCTCCAAAATGTTTGGGCAACACTTTATTGTGTACATTCCCAGAACTTCTCCAGGACCCTCTGTGTGCTGGGTCCTCAGATGCCACTTTCACGCCACACACAGGCTCTATTTCCTGGTGCGATCAAGGACAAGTCAGAAGCTTTCCTACACCTAAGTTGCTGTTGTTGATAAGTGCCATTCAGTCAGTTCTGACTCACAGCGACCCTGTATAGGGTTTCCAAGGAGTAGCTAGTGGGTTTGAACCACCAACCTTGTGGTTAGCAGTCCAGTGCATATCCTACAGCGCCACACCAGGACTCCATACTTGAGTGCTGTTCCCATTGAGAAGTGCCATTGGGTCAGTTCCGACTCACAGCGACCATGTATAGGGTTTCCGAAGAGCGGCTGATAGGTTTGAACTGCTGATTTTGTGCTTCAATACAACCTTGCAGTCCAGTGCATTATCCTGCAGCACCACATCAGGACTCCACAACTTGCATAGATGTCTTCAATAATTTATTGTTGTTGTTTACTGCCGTCGAGTCGGTTCCAACCGATAGCAACCCTGTATAGGGTTTCCAAGGAGCAGCTGGTGAGCGTGAACCGCTAACTTTACAGTTCAAACAGCTTTGCAATATGGCGCATTAACCTACAATGCCACACCAGGACTTCAATAATTTGGGGGGAGGGAGAGGGGAACTGCTCTAAAAAGTTCAGTGACTTTATCTGGTTGAAGGAGCTCTGGCAGCATAGTGGTTACAAATCGAGCTGCTAATCTCACAGTCAGCAGTTCGAAACTACCAGCTGTTCAGCAAAAGATGATGCTTTCTGCTCCCATAAAGATTTACAGCCTCAGAAACCTGTACAGGGTTCCCTATAAGTTGGAATAGACTCCATGGCACATAACAACACAACAACATGGATTAAGAATGGGAAGAAGAAAATGGTGTATTTCAATTTAAATACTTTTGCACTGTTGGCACATTTTAAAAACAACATCTGCCTATTTTGTAATTAAAAACAAAATCAATAGACTTTTAGCACAATGCACCCCACATAAAAGCCAGTGGTGAAACATCAAAGTCTTCCAATCAGTTAAGTCTTATTTCCTTCATTCAGTCCACAAACTGAGGAACTACTATGGGAAGGCAGTGTGAATAACTAACTCGTCTAAGAAGCACTCTGGCAAAGCAGAAAAAGCTCAAAATTTAGACGTCCACAGACTTGCTTTACACTCCTGATCACTCCCTTTCCATAACCTCTTTGGATCTCCCCGACTCCAGAGGAAAGTGGTGACAATCTCTCTCAAGACCACAGAAGGGAGGAGGGCAGGCTGTCTGGAAGGAGCACGAAGTTCTTACGGTCCACAGCACCTGGCGATGCTCTGCACTTCACCCTAAGTATGGGCCTCCTCGCCTGACTATCATTCAGGTTTCAAATAAACACATAAGGAAACATATTGAAAACCATTTAAGGGAAATTATTGCTTAAAATAGCAAGAGAAGTTAAAAAAGTCACCATCAGGCATGAATCTCCCAAAACTCTAACGTTTATATAGGCCAAACTAAACTGTATTTTCCATGTCTCCTCTATTTCCTCCCAAAGCTTATGGAATACTAGGCAACGGTGAATAATAATGATGAATCCGCAAAGCTCCTCACCACATGGATGAACCTGAAGGACACTGTTGCTGTTCAGTGCCATCTGGTCTGCCAAGTGGAATTAGTCCACCACAAAAGGGCTGTCCTGCTACAGCAATGGGTGGGAGCTAAGGGGGAAAATGTAGCAGATACATTTTAATGAATGTTTCTATGCATCTTAGTAAACCTAAATATGTTTCTACGCAAAAAAAAAGTCCTCTTTTGCCCTAAAAAGAAAAGGTAGGACACGTATTTAAATCGCAACTTGCTTAGCTCCTCTTTCGAGTTACGTTGATATTGTTAGTTACCCATTTAGTCTGAATGAAGGTGCCCTGACATGTGCAGAGTACAACTGCTGCACGGGACTTTCAGGCTGCGACCGTTCCAAAGCAGATCGCCAGACCTGTCTTCTGGGTGAGTTTAAACTGTGCACCTTTTGGTTAGTAATCAAGTTGAGTCAGGTGCAAACTATCTAAAGAGAGAGAAATGCAAATAAAAGGATGCTAGAAAGCCTCTTGACAGCAATTAGAACACCAAATAAATTCACAATCTAATTGGTCCTAAATTTAAGCTAATATAACATCATTTAAGTTGGCAAAGGACACCACCATATTTACACAAGAACAATTAAACAATGTGGACTGGAACTCATTAGAGGACATGGCAAATCAAAATTTGCTCAATAGAATCATATATTAAATGCTCTCAGGCTGTTCCACTTCACAAGATCCAAGGCTTATAAAATGTAATTTATATAGAAATCCAGTTTTATTCAATATATTTAAAAGCATCCAAATGAGTACTTTTGTTTGACATATACAATAGTAAACTTTTCTTGGTAAATAGGGATGAGAATGAATTGAGTCATCCCCACCTAATGAAAGCAGTTCCAGGGATGTATTCTAGGATGCCAACCTGCCGACCACAGTAACAGGTCCCCAACATGAGCTCACCTTATTTTGTGCAGTTTCAAAGTCTGAGTTTTTCCTTACATTTGGTTTCCTAATACCAAGCATACCTGGTACCTTATACATACAGTTTCCCAGTAGCTCTGATGAGAATGTATGTGTGGATCTGTCATAGTAAATCTTTTGCTACCTTTGATATTATACTGCCAGGAAACCAAGAGTCTATCAATGTGACTGTACGCAAGACAAATATAAGACAAAAAGGAGCATTTCCTCAGATAACAAGGACAAATGGAGAAGCAAAAATCCACCATAACCAGAATTTTTTTTTTTTTTTTTTTAAAGGGAAGCTACTCAAAAGCTGCTGCTAGGTATGAAAGCTTCTGTTGTGGCACTAAGATCACCACTGGACTGCGAAGCACAAGGTCAGCAGTTCAAACCCACTATGGTCCTCGGAAATCAGATACAGGGCTGCTATGAGTTGGAATCAACTCAATGGCACTTAATAAGAGCGGGGTTATAACCTCCTTATTAGGAGGGACCTTCATCGCCAAAAGCACTGGTTCTGAAGTCCCAGAATCGGAGACTGTAGGCTGAAGAGATGCCCTTGAACTGATCATCACAACACTGAACTGAGAATCCATCAGGGGAATGACCAATGGTGCTACAGACATGGCCCAAGGAAGCTGAGGACCATAAGTAACCATCATTATTGTGGCAAGCCCAGCCTAACCCTTTCATGCACATCACCTACCAATGCTCATGTAGACCAGAGAAGATGTGAGAAGACAGTTTAATCCTCTCTGACTTTACCTTTTCCCCCTTGAGCCCCCAAACATCCTCTATAACTCACTTATCCTACTCCCAGAAGACCTCAAGCAAAACAAAGATTCTAAAAGGGAAGAATAGGTCTAAACAGGATGTTTTAAGGGTGGGGTGGAGTGGGGTGGAATGGAGTTCTTGGGTGGTAGCTGCTACATTCTGAGGACTTCTGCTGAAAATGGGATCACAGCCGAGGAGCACTCAAATCGTCAGAAAACAGTTTAGCTCATGAAAAATCTGTCACTGAAGATTCTACATCCGGCCTTAGGATGCATTCTACAACTTCTGGACCCTGAAGCAAATACAATAAATATACCCCAGGATTTATCTGTAATTTATCTATACAAGATCTTAATCCAGTCTTGTATTGAAAAATGACCAAAGACCATTTCAAACAAATGTAAAAATGCAATACAAGCGTATGTAGGTCTCTGGAAATAAACATCTACACTGCTGATGTAGCACTAAGTGACAAATGACAGTGATCCTATGGCCCAAGGCCAGCAAATTCCATTGTAAAGAGTTTTATCTTGCATGCCTGGCAGCAAATACAAATGTATCCGCCTAATGACAAATTCAACAGTAAACCATTTCCACCATTTCTCAGACTCTAAGACCTATCAGGCCACCACTCGTCTGTCAGTTTGTCGTACTGTGGTGGCTTGTGTGATGCTGTGATTCTGGAAGCTATGTCACTGGTATTTTAAATACCAGCAGGGTCACCCATGGTGGACAGGTTTCATTCAGATGAGCTTCTAGATGAAGACAGACTAGGAAGAAGGAGTGACGAACTACTTCTGAATATTTAGTCACTGAAAACCTTATGAATAGCAGAGAAACACTGTCAGATACAGTGCTGGAAAATGAGCCCCTCAGGTTGGAAGGCACTCAAAATGTGACTGGGGAAGAGCTGCCTCCTCAAAGTAGAGTTGACCGTGATGACGCGAATGGAGTAAAGCGCATGGGAGAGAAAAGAACGCGGGACCTTCATTTGCTGATGGGCACAACTCACAATGAAGAGAAACAGCTGTAAACATCCACTGAAAACCGGAACATGGAATGTATGAAGTCTGAATCTGAGAAACTGGAAGCTGTCTAAATGAAATGGACGCATCAACATCGAGATCTTAGGCATTACTGAGCTGAGCTGGCCATCTTGAAACTGATGACCACATGGTTTACTATACCGGAAATGACAAACTGAAGAGGAATGGTGTTGCATTCGTTGTCAAAAAGAACATATCCAGATCAGTCATGAGGTACAATGCTGTCTATGATAGGATAATATCCACGCGCCTACAAGGAAGCCCAGTTAATAATACCACTATTATTCAAATTTATGTACCAACCACTAAAGCCAGTGAGGACGAAATAGAAGAATTCTACCAACTTCTTCAATCTGAAATTGATCAAACATGCAATTAAGATGTATTGATCATTACTGGTGATTGGAATGCAAAGGTAGGGAGCAAAGAGGAAGGTTCAGTGGTTGGGAAATATGGCCTTGGTGATAGAAATGATGCTGGAGAACACATGATACAATTCTACAAAACCAATAATTTGTTCATTTCAAATACCTGCTTTAGACAGCATAAGAGACAACTATACATACACATGGACCTCACCAGATGGAATACACAGAAATCAAATTGACTACATCTGTGGAAAGAGATGATGGAGAAGCTCCATATCATCAGTCAAAACATGGCCAGGGGCAGACAGTGGAAGAGACCATCAATTACTCATTCATATGCAAATTCAAACTGAAGCTGAAGAGAATGAAAACAAGTCCACAAAAGCCAAAATATGACCTTGAATATACCCCACCTGAATTTAGGGATCATCTGAAGAACAGATTTGATACACTAAACACTAAAGACCGAAGACTAGAAGAGTTGTGGGATAACATCAAGAACATCATACATGAAGAAAGCAGTAAGTCATTAGGACAAGAAAGAAGAAAAAGGTCAAAATGACTGTCAGAAGAGACTGAAACTTGCTCTCCAGTGTAGAGATGCTAAAGCAAATGGAAGAAATGAGGAGGTACAAGAGCTGAACAAAAAATTTCAAAGCTCAGCTCGATAAGATAAAGCCAAATATTACAACAAAATGTACAAAGATCTGGAATGAGAAAACGAAAAAGGAAGCATTTCTCAAGCTGGGGGAACTGAAGAAAAAATTCAAGCCTCGAATTTTCGTTATTGAAAGATTCTCTGGGAAAATTACTAAGTGATGCAGAAAGCATCAAGAGAAGATGGAAGGAATCCACAGAGTCACTGTACCAAAATGAAATGGTTCATGTTCAACCATTTCAAGAGGTAGCATATGATCGGTAGCCAATGATACTAAAGTAAGAAGTCCAAGGTGCATTGAAGGAACTGGCAAAGAACAAGGCACCAGGAATTAATAGAACAAAAATTGAAATCTTTCAACAAAGTGAGGCGGCACTGAAGGCACTCCCTCATCTATGCCAAGAAATGTGGAAGACGGGTATCTGGCCAACTGACCGGAAGAGATCCATATCTGTGCTCATTCCAAAGAGAGGTGCCCTAACGGAATGCGGAAATCATCGGACATTCTCTTTGATAGCCCACGCGAGTGAAGTTTTACTAAGGGTAACACAGAAATGGCTGTAAGCATACATTGACAGAGAACTTCCAGAGGTTCAAGCCAGATTCAGAAGAGGCCATGGAATGAGGGATATCAATGCTGATATCCGATGGATGGATCTTAGCTGAAAGCAGAGAATACTAGAAAGATGTTTACCTGTGCTTTATTGACTATGCAAAGGCTTTCGATTGTGTGGCTCATGACAAGATATGGACAACATTGTGAAGTATGAGTAATCCTGAACACTTAAATGTGCTCATGAGGAATCAAATAGAACATGGAAACACTGAATGGTTTAAAATTAAGAAACGTGTGTGACAAGACTGTATTCTTTCACCATACTTATTCAACCTGTATGCTGAGCAAATCATCTGAGAAGCTGGGTTATATGAAGAAAAACGTGGCATCAAGATTGGAGGAAGACTCATTAACAACCTGCGATAAGCAAATGATACAACCTTGCATGCTGAAAGAGAAGAGGACTTAAAATATTTACTGATGAAGATAAAAGAGCATAGTGTTCGGTATGGATTACATCTCAATGTAAAGAAAACAAAAATCCTCACCACTGGACCAATAAACAACATTCTTATCAATGGAGAAAAGACTGAAGTTATCAAGGACTTCATTATCAACACTCACGGTACCAGCAGTCAAGAAATCAAAGGGCATATTGCATTAGGCAAATCTCCTGCACAAAACCTTTTTAAAGTGTTGAAGAGCAAAGATGTCAGCTTGAGGACTAAGGTGCGCCTGACCCAAGCCATGGTATTTTTCAATAACCGCATATGCATGTGAAAGCTGGACAGTGAATAAGGAAAACAGTAAAAGAACTGATGCATTTGAGTTATGGTGTTGGAGGAGAATATTGAAAGTGTCGTGGGCTGCCAAAAGAACCAGTAGATCCATTTTGGAAGAAGTGCAGCCAGAGTGCTCCTTGGAGGCTAAAATGGCCAAACTTTGTTTCTCATACTTGGGACATATTGTCAGGAGGGACCAGTCGCTGGAGAAGGATATCATATTTGGTAAGGTGGAGGGTAAGAGAAAAAGAAAAAGACCCCCAACAAGATGGATTGGCCAAGCGGAAGCATCTCTGGGCTCAAGCGTGGCAACAACTGTGAGGTTGGCCCAGGATCAGGCAGTGTTTCGTTCTGCTGTGCATAAGGTCGCTATGAGTCGGTACCGACTCGATGGCACCTAAAACACCAACAAATCAGTAAGAAATGTCCTAAGCAACCTCATGTAATGTGGTAAAACATAGGTCCATTAATTGTTGTTGTTAAGTGCTGTCCAGTCTGTTATGACTCATAGCGACCCTGTACAGGGTTTCCGAAGAGTGGCTGGTGAACTTGAACCACCAACCTTGCAGTTCAAACCCACCTTCTGGTCCAGTGCATTATCCCACAGCGCCACACCAGGACTCCAAGTCCTTGTTGTTGTTGTTGTTAAGTGCCGTCGAGTCGGTTCCGACCCATAGCGACCCTGTACAGGGTTTCCGAGGGTGTAAATCCTTACGGGAGTAGAAAGCCTCATCCTTCTCCCGCGGAGCGGCTGGTAGTTTCGAACCGCTGACCTTAAGGTTCGCAGCCCGATTCGTAACCACTACGCTACCAGAGCTCCTTAGAGTAAACATTGCAGCATCTCAAATCATTTTATTTACATCAGCTGCTCACTGGCACTGTGGGTTATGGTGTTTGCTCCTGAAAGATTTCCAGTCTCAGAAACGCTATATAAGATCACTATGAATTAGAATTAACTCAACAGAAAAAGATTCACTATGTAAAGGAGTCCTGGGGGTGCAGTGGCTGCTAACCAAAAGGTCAATGGCTCAAACCCACTAACTTTTTCAAGGGAGAAAGAGGTGTCAGGCTGTCTGTTTCCATAAAGGTTTGCAACTTTGGAAACTCTAGCCCTAATGGGCAATTCTACTCTGTCCTCAGAGTCAGAATCAACTTGCGGGTGGTGGGTTTGGTTTCTTTGGAGTATTACTACAAACTAACAAAGACTGGGGTGAGCCTGCCACAAAGCATGAAGGACAGGAGCCAACCACATGAGACACATTTGTGTCAAGTCAGGCAGCTTTATTTTGGTGAATTCACTACAAAGGACTTCAACAATCACCAAAAAAGGGTTTTAAGAACCAGAGAACTGGCCTTCAAACTAGTTATCCAAAGTCATTCCCTCACATCAGCCAATACTCATCAACGAGAGCCATCCTGACATTCAGATTCTCAAAGTCCATCATTCACCTGTGAAAATACTCAAAGCTTCAGTAATGTTCCAAGTTTTACACTTCAAGGAAAAGGGTTAAAATCCCCTGCTTTTCATGAATATGGAAAAATAAGCTGTAAACTATGTTTAAAAAAAAAATTGAAGTGTAATTTTTAACAACCCAATTTTTAAAAAGAACCTTTACCATTTGTGGTTATTACCAACAGATTCTCTGGGCAAATTATTGAATGATGCAGAGGGCATCAAGAGAAGATGGAAGGAATACACAGAGTCATTGTACCAAAAGGAAATGGTTAATG